AGTGGTATAAGTCTCATGTAAAAACGCCAATTCGATTAAACATTCTTCCCTTGTCACTTCAAAAGACGTCATCTAATCACCAACTCCTGACAATCGCAACCAGTTCTTATCTTACCAACGTCTCACTTGGTCTATGATGAGGTAGCCTATAATGTTTGTGCTCGAAATTCTCAGATTCTTATGTCTCCCAACAAGCCCTCTGAGGAAAAATAACTAAATGGATGAGAGACGACCATCTGATGTGGCTGCCCCTCATATAGAATATGCTATGTCTGAATAAGGTGACTTCAGAAAACGGTATTCGAAACCCCGTTTCCACACTGTCTTCCAGGGTAAATTTTTTGATCCGGTCAAAGACTTTGTGATTACATAACAGCTATGTTTACTCACCGGAAGTTACCTTCAAAAATAAAAGATATCGTAATGTATCAATTATCCCTGAGCACTTAACAGGTAGGCGTTCCACAATTCATTGCTTAGTGGAAAATGAGTCCGGTTAACGGATAAATATCCATTCGAAGTTCTCAGACTCCTCATAACGTCCCAAGCCTGTTTCCTTGACTTTAACGAAAGATTCGACAAAAATTGTGCCTTTGAAAATCTTCCAATTTGTGTGCATACGGTAGAACATGCTTTTGCTTCTGATAAGACAAGTCGCTAAACACAATCTTTTTGTTGACAGGAGTACTTACAGTTAATGAAGAGCTGCAAAAAGTCTGTTTTTCTTTCTACACTGTGCATCTATAAATGTTGTTTTTATATTTTTTCTATGACTGGGTATTTTTGCTCAGAATGACGAACAGAACAACCAAACAATGTCACACCGGAAACAAAAAAGACAATATTGGTCTTGCATTTTTATTGCATTTTGCATTTTCTTGTCGAAAAAAAACCTGCCAGCACTAACGATGACTAGTTTAGTTTTTGTTTATCGTTATCTTGGCAGTCGTCAGCCGAACCGTGGCACAGAATCCATAAAGGTCTATTCAAAGATTGTCGTCGCATGAAATGCGATTCTCAAAAATGCCAAGTCAAAATGAGCATTTGCTTGATCTTGTTGGTGCCATCTATTATTCAGTTTAGTCCAAACCTATTAGTAAGCTTCATTCACTTTATTTTGTCAATATTTATTAATCCTATCTAGCTTCTAACAACATATAACTAAAACAGCCACCATGTTCTTTGCTTCGTTTCTTTGCAGTCTTTTTCAAGGTCTTTCAGGTACTTCTGGGCATAATTTTGTATTCGAGGTTCTTCCGTTCTGCTGAGTGAAACTGCTTTTCTAGCGTACTCTAGTGCTTCTTTCTGGAATAGTAAACGTCGGATTCGCCGCTATGTTGAGGGAAAAAGTTATTCCCGTACCTTCCGACCAACATGAAAGAGGGCTTCAGCATAATTGCAATAGTAGCCGGGTAACATATCAGCGCATTCGTTTACATAGAGAATCCGATCGATACCGATTGATAAGTATTTTAAAGCTAATTCAAACCTAAAGATGAGAATACAAGAAGATGTATCCTTGGATTAGCCGTTTGTTTACCTGTTCTTGAGGATACATACGGCACCAAAGTTGTTGAGCAAGTTGATGGTATGGAACGAACTGGCACCATAGAGCTGATAAGAGATCTTAACGGAGGAG